AGTACTCTAAACTGTATAAATAATGTAAAATTAAATTGAATTTATTAGCCAATCAGACAAACTTCTGCCTATGTCATCGCAGCATTACGGCACAAAAGTTTTACGGCAATTAGATACTACGCCGTAATTAATTCTACCACATGGTAAAATGCTGTAATGCCGTAATTCAGTAATTCTACCAACAACTATAGATCTGGGATCATCAAAATCGAACTCTTCGATTTGCTGTTTAGGAGTTTGTATTACTTGCCTTTTTAACTGGCAAATGAAAAATTTTCTTTTTATGGATTAAGAGGAAATCTTGGTTGTCGATCTTATGCACAAACGCAATAAAAATACAAAAAAAGATACACCCTGTAAATAAGTTAAGAGAGCACTTAATTCCTAATAGTAAATGACAATCTTGTTTGGATACGATTAATAAAGAATATTAAAGAGTTTAAAAAAAAAGGTCAAAAAGATTTTAAGAGGGCCATTTTTATACTTATATATTGGTCACAATATGGCTGTCCATGGAATTTTATTTGGTCTGATTTGGGACTATGCCCGACATAAAAAATCCATATCAGTATCCAAGCTCAGTCCGTGTAGTACCAATCCATGAATCCTGCATGGATACTCCAGCCTATGCGGAACCTTGCGTAAAAACGTTTGACAAATCTTATAACTTTATTGGTTAATAAAGCGGATGCAATATACAGTAATGCATATGCATATGTAATAAATTATTGTATTCTTATACGTATTCATACTAGAGATGCAGCTCAAGCTATTTGCTTATTGTTGACAACATACGCTACTAACTACATAATTTATTTTTGGCACTCAAACTAGGCCTGTCTAAAGCTAGTTTTATTTTTTGTTTAAAAAAAAAAAAAAATCGAAATCTTAAATTTCGCAATTTTATTCATATTACAGTATTATAGTTAACATTAATACTAAATATATAATTTTACAGTAGATTCGTTGAAAGAGGCTATGACTAAATAACCGCATCGATGAAACGATACCAAAATTCTTGAAATCCAATCACACAATCAAAAAACCTTTAAGGTTCATGTTATTTTTGGCATACCACTATAAATTATTATAATTGACTAAACTTATTTGTATTAATCAAATAATTCAAATATGAGTATTGACCGGTCAAATTAAATAAAATTATTACCTAGATCACATGATAAATGGATGCCTTTTGGACAAAAGGCATGCCCATGAATCCTGTGCTCTCAACACTAATTCTAGTACTTTATTTGGAAATTTCTAAATTCAAAAATAATTAGTTGAATGTATCAATTATTGGTTTTTAGGATGCTTAATTCTATTGGTCATTGAGCGGCATTTGCCTGATGAATGGAGGCAAACAAATAAACAACTTTAATGGTTATACTACAGAATCCTGACAAAACCCAACATACAAAATCCCAACGTATAAAATCCCGACAAACAAAATCTTGACATTAAAATCCAAATTTTAATAGTACTACTATTAGTAATTGGTAGTGTCAGGATTTAATATCAAGATTTTGTTTGTTGGGATATTGTACGTCAGAATTTTGCATGTCGGGATTCTGTAGTATAACCACTTTTAATTAATTAGGAATGACTGTTCGTCAATTTTTATTGAGCCTAGAACTGTTCACAATAAACTTAATTAGTTCAACAAAGAATCCACTTTATATATGATATAGAAAATGTATTAAAATATATTTTGTTCAGATGTTAACGGTTATCTCCGCGACAAGATTTTGATGGATCCACTTTAGATCTACTGATCTATAAATCAGATGCTATACGATTTGATTACTTATGTAGAAATTCTTTTATGAGTCGTCTTAAAATTACTAGTACGCATCCAAGAAAATTGGCTTTTATTGTTATATTAGGCGGTTGATGCAATTGTGTATTAATACCATACATTGGAATACTTCATCGGTATAAAAAACAGCATGTTTGTAATACAGTAACGGTAATAGACAGTGATGTTCCATATAGAATGTAATACAGTACGTAATAAATAATTTGTGTAACCTTTTGTGCTACATAAAATATATAAAATTAGTTTTGCTATAAGGATGATCACTTTGAACTAATAATATGAGCTCGGAAGTTTCTGCAGTAGAAAAACTAGTGGAAGGTCTTATAAAACTGGTGGAAGAACTAATTAAAAAAAAGATCATAAATAGCATTTACTACAATGAATTTGGAAACTTTGAAACAATTAGTGATGTTGGATATTTTTATATTTCTAAAGCCGAATGGAAAAATTTTAAAATAAATGTTGCTGTTAAAGCCGTTAAAAGTCTATTTAATCAGTATTCCTACAAGATATTAGTTCAAGAGGTGATGATTAATATATTATAAGTCATTAGCAGGCAATACCTATTAGGTCAAGAATTGAATTCAAGGAATTTATTTTGATTTAATTCTTGGTGAATAAATAAGGTTTATGATATCTGCATGACTAATAACCGGTAATTTACAACCGTCTGTCAAGTAATTTACTATTTGGCGAAGATGGTAGTTTATACCGTATATAGGGATGGGTTCGGTCACGAACGGTCACAATCATTCATAGTCAATTTGCTAAATACTGAGATGATTTTTTACTTTT